GGGGGGGGGAGAACGGGAGAGTGGCGGATGAGGGGGGGTTAATAAAAAACTAATTAAAAAGGGAATAAGAGAGAAGAAAAGAAAAGAAAAAAATTAAAAAAAAATAAACCTGAACAGCGCCAGGTCCGCGGCCGGATCCGCAGCTGCGGACAGAACATCTGCACAATCCGCGGTCAGATCCGCGGCCGCAGATTAGGCATCCAAATTTTTTTCTTTTTTTGCACTTTTTCCTATCTCTGGGATAATTTCGTCACCCCGAGTCTTTCCGCTACGCATACCTTTGTTCCTGCACCTTACTAGATCGATCAATGTTGTCACTGTTCAAAAAAATCAACTACAAAAATATGAACAAAGAAAAAAAAATAATTGGTTGCCTCCTAAAAAGCGCCTAATTTAACATCGCGGCACGACAATTTACAACAAACCATGGGTTGCCTCCCAGGAAGCGCCTGATTTAACGTCGCAGCACGACGCATGCTTTTATTATTACTCTTCGCTCATATATTGGGGCTCTTCCAAAGATATCACCGCTCTATCACCCTTTTCTGCGACCATTCCAAGGTAATATTTCAACCTTTGCCCTTCACTATGAACTTATTTGTTCCATCTTCGATTCAATTTCTACAGCTTCATTTGAGAACACTTGCACCACTCTGAAGGGTCCTGACCATCGGGACTTCAATTTACCCGGAAAGATTCTTAATCTCGAGTTGTATAACAACACTAGATCTCCGGGTTTGAAGTTCCGATCTAGAATATGCTTATCATGCATCATTTTCATCCTTTCTATGTACAATCTTGCATTCTCAAATGCATGGAACTTGAATTCCTCGAGTTCGTGTAACCCAGTGACTCTACTGGTGCCTGCGGTCTCCATATCCAAATTCAATAGCTGCAGTGCCCAAAGGGCTTTATGCTCGAGCTTTACCGGAAGGTGACATGCTTTTCCAAACACCAACTTGTATGGTGACATACCAATTTGAGTTTTAAATACTGTGCAGTACGCCCATAATGCATCATCTAGCTTATTCGCTCAATCAGTCCTTGTCGCATTCACTGTCTTGGTCAGGACACTTTTGATTTCCCGATTCGACACTTCAACTTGGCTGCTTGACTGTGGGTGATAAGGGGTGGTCACCTTATGGCGAACTCCATACTTTTCCAACAGCCGTGCGAACGCTCTATTGCAAAAATGGGTTCCACCATCACTGATTATAGCTCTTGGGGTGCCAAAACGTGTGAAGATGTTTTTCTTTAGAAAGCCAGTCACCCCCTTTGCATCATTGGTTGGGAGAGCCATAGCTTCAACCCATTTGGAGACATAGTCAACTGCCACCAGTATATATTTGTTACCATACGTTTGACGAATGGCCCCATAAAGTCAATTTCCCACATGTCAAATACCTCCACCTCTTGATAGTAGTCATCGACATCTCATGACGTCGAGATATGTTGCCTGTCCTTTGGCACTCATCATAGCTTTTCACCCAAGCATGGGCATCCTTGAATAGGGTTGGCCAATACAAACCCGATTCCAACACCTTAGCCACTGTCGTAATCCCTCCAAAGTGTCCACCATATGGTGAAGCATGGCAAGCTTGCAAAACAGAAGGTTCATCTTTCTCGGGAATACACCTCCGGATCATGTTTCCTACACATATTTTAAAGAGTAGAGGTTCATCCCAATAATAAAAATGACAATCGTGAAAGAACTTTTTCTTTTGAATTGAAGAGAGTTCATAAGGTACAATACCGCTTGCTAAATAATTAGCAATATCAGCATACCATGGTGTCTCCTCCATTATCACTGCTAGTAACTGTTCATCCGGGAATGTCTCAGTTATATCTTCAACCTCTACCTTCTTTTTAGCTCCTTCAAACCTTGAGAGGTGGTCTGCTACCTGGTTCTCGGTCCCTTTTCTGGCACGGATATCCAGATCGAATTCTTGTAGGAAAAGAACCCAGCGGATCAAGCGTGGCTTTGACTCCTTCTTTGCTATCAAGTACCTAATTGCTGCATGGTCAGTATAAATAATACCTTTGGAACCAATGAAGTATGACCTAAATTTGTCGAATGCAAAAACTACAGCCAAAATCTCCTTTTCCGTCACAGTGTAATTGAGTTGTGCACCGATTAGCGTTCTGCTTGCATAATAAATTGGGTGCATCAGCTTAACCTTTTGCTGCCCCAAGACTGCTCCTACAGCATAGTCACTTGCGTCGCACATGAGCTCAAATGGTTGCTCCCAGTTGAGTGCAACAATTATGGGTGCAGTCACTAATCTCTTCTTCAGCTCCTCAAATGTTAACCTGCAATCATTAGAAAACACAAAGGGCTGATCCTTTTCAAGGAGTTTACATAAGGGGTTAGCAATCTTAGAGAAATCTTTTATGAATCGCCTGTAGAACCCGGCGTGCCCAGGGAAACTTCTCACTGCCTTGACCAAAGTGGGCGGTGGAAACTTCTTAATCACGTCAATCTTAGCATGGTCAACCTCAATTCCTTTACTGGACACGCGATGCCCCAAGACTATCCCTTCTTGTACCATAAAATGGCACTTCTCCCAATTTAGCACTAAATTTGTCTCCACACATCTTCTAAGCACTCTTCTCAAATTGTGAAGATAGTCCTCGAATTAATCCCCCCCACGGAGAAATCATCCATAAATACATCCATAATGTCTTCAACCATGTCTGTTAAAATGGCTAACATACACCGCTGGAATGTAGCCGGTGCATTGCAAAGTCCAAAAGGCTTTCTCCGAAAGGCAAAGATGCTTTACGGACAGGTGAATGATGTTTTCTCTCTATCTTCGGGGGCTATAGAGATCTGATTGTACCCTGAATATCCATCCAAGAAACAGAAGTGAGATCACCCAGCCAACTTGTCCAGCATTTGGTCAATGAATGACAAGGGAAAATGGTCTTTCCGGGTGGCTGTGTTCAATTTCTGATAATCCATGCAAATCCGCCATCCCGTGACAGTACGAGTCGAGATCAACTCGTTCTTCTCATTTTGCACAACCGTAATTCCTTCCTTCTTCGGCACACACTGAACAGGGCTGACCCAGTTGCTGTCAGAGATGGGGAAGATGATACCCGCATCTAACCATTTGATCACTTCCTTCTTCACCACCTCTTTCATATTCGGGTTCAGACTTCGTTGATGTTCTATGGAAGGTTTGTGCCCTTCTTCCAAGAGAATCTTGTGCATACAAAAAGTTGGGTTGATACCCTTTATGTCTGCCATGGTCCAACCAATAGCAGTCTTACATTCTTGTAACACCTGTAGGAGTTGCTCTACCTGCACAGCTAACAAAACGGATGATATAATAGCAGGTAAAGTAGAATAGGCCCTAAGAAAGCGTACTTGAGATACGCTGGACTCGGTTTCAGGTCCAACTGTGGTGGCTCCTCTATCGATGGTTTCGCAGGCGGTGTTGTTCTTTCTTCTAAGTGTAGGTGCTCGAACTCGGGTTCCCTTTTCCAGAACCCTTGACCTTCAAGAGCCATGAACCACTCCGCCAACTCCTCACCATCGACATTTTCCAGATTCATCAAGCAGGCTTCCAACGGATCCCTGACATTAATAGTCCCATCCTCCTCTTATAGTATCACATCTACGGCCTCCACTAGTGAGCAATTTGCAAATTCGCTGGGTCTCCTCATAGATTGTTGAACATTGAATATTATCTTTTCATTGTTCAACCTCATTTTCAATTCTCTAGTCTCACAATCAATCAATTCTCTCCCAGTGGCTAAAAATGGCCTGCCCAAAATGAGTGGTATCTCCTCATCCACTTGACAGTCAAGAATGACAAAGTCTATAGGGAATACAAATTTCCCCACTTGAACAAGCACATCATCAAGAATTCTTGTCGGTCTTTTGACTGTGCAATCAGCCAGTTCCAACAACATTGAGGTCGGTCTAGCTCTGCCAATGCCCAGTTTTGTATAGATTGCCAAGGGCATCAAGTTTATACTGGCCCCCAAGTCACACAATGCTTTAGCAAAAGCATAACTCCCAATGGTGCATGGAATAGTGAAACTACCTGGATCAGACACCTATTGAGCCATAGGCCTTGTCACTACCGCGCTGCAGGTCTGCGTCAGAGTTACAGTGACCGGTCCTGAAAGTCAAATTTCCGCAACATCAGGTCCTTCATCATTTTTGTATACCCTGGCATCTCCCTCAAAGCATCCATCAGTGGGATATTCAATGGAATTTGTCTGAGCATTTCCATGAATTTCCTATATTGATCATCTTTCTTTTGCTTTGCCAACCTCTGACGGAATGGTGCAGGAATCAACCTCTGCTCACTGCATTGTGTCTTTTCTTTGCTGGAAGCTTTTTCTACTACCTGTTTTGGGAGTTGTTCACCTTCCTTCTCCTTACCCTTGTCAACCCGTGCTTGCTCGATTACAACCTCGGTGAGCTCTGCTGACTCATCTGTCTCTTATGTAACTGGGGTAGCTGGAGCAGTCGGCGTTGTCTCTCTCCTAGATTGAGCAACTTCTTGCTCCCTGTCTAAATCTCTCCCATTCCTGAGACTCACTGCCATGAGCTGATTTGGGTTCTTCTCCTTTGGATTAATGTTTGTATCTGCAGGCAACGTTCCTTGTGGGCGATTGTTCAAGGTCATAGATAGCTTTCCCAATTGAGTTTCAATGCCTTTGATTGCTGAATCATGTGCAACTAACTTCTCTTGCATCTTTCCATTTGTCCCAATGAGTTGTTGTAGCATACCCCTGATTTTGATCATGTTACTATCCTGCTGTTGATGAGGTGGATGGTAGGCCAACTATTGCTGGTGCTGCTGATTATAGCCCTGCTGTCTTTGATAAGGCACGACTTGGCCTTGTGGTCGTGCTCCTCCTGGATTGGGGTTGTGCTGTGGATGGTTCGGTCTGTACTGTTGATTTGCCGATGGTCCCCATTGCTGCCCACCTTGCCTCTGAGCCCCGAAATTATTAACATAATTCATGTCTTCTCTGAAAAACCCTGGTTGTCAGTCTCTCCACTCTACGAGCACACATATGACTGGCTTATGCAAGGAGTGCATAGACCTCCATTTGTGGTATCAACAATGTGCACCTGTTTCATACCCATCTCATCGATTTTCTTTGTCAGCAAGCTCATCTGGGTCATAAGAGTGGCTATGTTTTCTACATTTGTGTTGTTTGGGTCAAGAGTGACAGAATGCACTATTGGAGTGAGTGTTGTGTCTCTCGTCATCCAGCTTGAATTTTGAGACATCTCGTAAAGAAGAATCTTACACTCTTTGAAGGATTTGCTCAAGAATGCACCCCCGGCAGAAGCATATATATTGACCTTCAGATTGTCAGCCAGACCCATATAGAACCTATGTCCTAGCATCTAATCCGGAATGCCATGGTGAGGACACTTCACCAACATACCCTTAAACCTCTCCCAGGTGTCTTGCAAAGTCTCAGTCAGTTTCTGCCTGAATTGCAATATCTCATCAATCTGCCTTGCAGTTTTGTTGGGTGGATAAAACTTGTTTAAGAACTACTTGACTAGTCCCTCCCAAGTAGAAATGGAGTTTATTGGGAGCAAATTCAGCCAAGTTTGAGCCTCCCCGGTCACTGAGAATGGGAACAGTAATAATTTGATTGCCTCAGGAGTCACATTCGGTAGTCTTTGAGTGACACATATTGATAGAAAGTTCTTTAGATGTTGTTGTGGGTCTTGGATGTATGACTCGGACAACAAACCTTTATTCTGCAACAGGTGCAGCATGTTGTTGGTAATCTGGAATGTCTCCGCTTGTATGGGAGGAACTGCAATTGCTGTGGCCAGGTTATCAGTAGTTGGTTGTGCCTAATCATAAAGAGTAGCTTCCGGCACAAGAGGTTCTACCACTCTGACGTTTGGGTCATCTCGATCATTCATGTTGTTCCTGTTGACGTTGTTTACGTCATCCATTTCAATTTCAATTTGTTTATTTTATTTCAGCTGTTTGCTCTTTCTTGTTAGCCCGGTTCAATGTCCAAAATGCTTTCTCAGGATCTGAGAGTCCTTTAAAGAGTTCAACATTTCTCAAAGAGCTTCTAGGCATGCACCTAAGACACAAAGAGTTCAAACGTGAGAATTTCAATGGAAATATTTTTAACACCACAGAAAATTGATCTAAACTAGAAATCCTAGCAATTCTTCCAAGTTGCAATAAATAACGCCGCTAGTTCCCCGGCAACAGCGCCAAAATTTGATCACGCCCAACTACGCCTTATAAAAAAGGACTCAAAGATCGCTGCAAATATATAATATGGTTCAGTCTGGAGTCTAATCCCACAGGGAACTAACCTATTTACTGCGACTTTTACCACTGCTAATGATAAGCTCAAACAATTTTCGGATGCAAGATTTTTGATATATAATGAGTACAATTTAGTTAACAAAGGAAAAATAACAATAAGACTAGTAATAATCTAGAATAGAGTTAAATTCAATGGTAAAATGGTCTAGGATTAATGATCTCCCCAATTGTCAGATTAATTCCCGACAAGTTAGCTATAATCTCGCCGTAACACTCTATAAGAAATATGAGTTATGGGTGATGCTTAGCTTAAAGAATATATATTTTTTTTATGTATATCGCGTCATATTTTACTTTTGTTTCGTGAATTTGGGATGTTAAATGCTATGATTTATATTAATTTGAAGTGTTTTTATGTGTAGGAACGATTCAGGATCAATTGGTGGCGAAACGCACAAGATTTGAGCCAAAACAAACGAAACCGGGAAACTTGCGAACCCTACCTGTGGCGCCAAAAACAGTAGCTAAAAATATTGGAGCGCCGTGGAGGGCGCCTGGCGCTAGCCAGTGTGCCAGTGACGGGAATTTTGTCCAACTTTGCCCGGGAAAAGGTTATTTCGGCCCTAGACCTACCCAACACGTATAAAAGCAAGACTAAACATATTTTTTGAGGGGAGGACGCCACTTTAGAGAGATCTAACATACTTTGAAGGGGAATTCACGTGGGGTAACACATGGAGGAGGCTTCTAACTAGTTTTTCTTCTCTTTTCTTCCTTTAATTTCATAGTTTCTTTGTTCTAGAGTTTTGGGGTACTACATGAACGTTGTAGTTTGAAGCTTGAATTTTTCTTATTATTTTATCATATTTGTTTATTTATTCAATCTTGCGCTTAATTATTTGATTGCTTGATCACCAATTGAATACTATCTACGAATCTAGGATTGAACTCGGGAGAGGGAATTCTAGATTGCATATAAGATTGAGTAGAGCAAGATCTTAACTCTTAGGGGGAGTGGATTTGCAGTTAGGATAGGAATATACCTAATCGCCTTGCTTGGTTACTATACGGGAATTATAAATGCATTCTTATTAATCCTAATTCCATAGGAATATAGGCGTTAGGTTAGCTTGAATAGGCGAGTTGTACTTCGGGAGAAGGCTACGAGCAATATCAACCCCGTCAATCAATAAACTAGATAAATTAATTAGACAACTTAAGTGGAAAACTCAACGGGATTGTTAGCTAAACCATAGCTCTAGAATATTCACTCACATTGAATTCGTTATTTTCTTTAGTTTCTTAGGTTGCTACTCTAAATTAGTTTTAGTTAATAATCATTAGAAATTCGCTTGAATAGATTAATTGTTCGGTTTAATTTAGTTGATAGTTAATCACAAGTCCCTGTGGGTACGATATCTGGACTTACTGTAATGACCCAAAAGGTCATCACTTGCTTTAAATTAAAATCTGTGTTTCCAAGGCCTTGAAAACCTCGTTTAGAGTCACCTTGATTTAAATGCGCAGTCCGGTCGTGTAGCCGGAGAGCTTAAATATGAAAATCTATGAAAATGGTAAAATTTGGCTATAAAATGACTTAATTTGACTTCGGTCAACGTTTTGGGTAAACGGACCCGGACTCGTGATTTGACGGTCCCGGAGGGTCCGTAGGACAATATGGGACTTGGGCGTATGCCCGGAATCGAATTCCGAGGTCCCGAGCCCGAGAAATGAATTTTTAAAGGAAATTGTTTTCTGAAATTGTTTAAGGAAATTTGAAATGAAATTTGATTAGAACATGATGGTATCGGGTCCGTATTTTGGTTCTGGCGCCCGGTACAGGTCTTATATATGATTTAAGATGTTTCTGTGAAATTTGATGAAAAACGGATATCATTTGACTTGATTCGGACCTTAAATGCAAATTTGATGTTGAAAGAAGTTTTGAGAAATTTCATTGATCTTGAGGTTTAATTCGATGTTCATGATGTTATTTTGGTTATTTGAGTACACGAATAAGACCATAGGATATTTTTGAGGTTGTGTATATATTTGGTTTGGAGCCCCGAGGGCTCGGGTGAGTTTTGGATAGGCCACGGGGTAAAATTTTGGACTTAAGGAATTGTAGACCTGCAGACTTCGCATTTACCAAGCTACCTTCGCAATTCGCAAGCCAGCAGAGGTTGGTTCGCAATTGCGAACCCCTGTTCGCAATTCCCACATCTGAGACATGCAATTTTATACTTAGCCGATTTTAAACCCCATTTTTTATATTCTCTCAAACACAAACACACTTAGGCAATTTTTCAAGAATTCCTTCTTCTCCAAATCAATTGTAGGTAAATTTTTAACTAACTTTCTTCAATTCTTAGAATCTTTTAACATGATTTCAACTTAAAATCAAGGATTTTCATGGGGAAATTGGGTGTTTTGGGTAGAACCTAGGTTTTTCAAAAATTGGGGATTTGGACCTCGATTTGAGGTCCGATTTCAAAACAAATTATATATTTGGGTTCGTGGGGGGAATGGGTAATCGGGTTTTGGTTCGAACCTCGGGTTTTGACCATGTGGGCCCGGGGGCAATTTTTGACTTTTTGGGTAAAACTTTGGAAAATTCATTTTCATGCATTCAAATTGATTTCATTTAGCGTTTATTGATGTAATTAAGTAACTTGTGACTAGATACGAGCGAATTGGTCGTGGAATCAAGGGGTAAAGCTATAATTGAATCGTGAATTATGTTCGAGACATCGAGGTAAGTGTTTGGTCTAACCTTAGCTTGAGGGATTAGGAGTTGAGTCCTATTTGCTATATGATAATTATTGAGTACGACGTATAGGCATGGTGACGAGTATCTATACGTTGGTGTCTAGCATACCCGTGAGTCTTTATATTGTGATTATCATGACTTCATTGTGTCATTCATGCCTTGGTGATGGTTTTTATTTGCTGTATAAAGTTTGTGGAAAGAATTGTGACCTATGAACATTGAGGAGCGTTGGCTCCAGTTGTATAACGATTTGTGATAGTATAAGTGATAATTGAACCTCTAGAGCGGTGGCTCGAGTTGTGAAGTGAATTGTGAAGTAAAAGTGAGAAAGAGAAGAGATCATTATGTTGCCCCCTTGCCGGGCTATTGTTGAGTTGTGGTTCTCTTGCATTGTGTTCTTAATTGATATTACGGATACTTAGGTTGATGATTCTTTGTGTTAGGTAAGGATTGTGGTTATAGCTGAGGTAGTTAGATATTGGAACAAGTTTGGGTATAGCCGAGGTAGTTAGGTGTTGTAATAAGTTTAGGTATAGCTGAGGTAGTTAGATGTTGGAACAAGTTTGGGTATAGCTGAGTAGGAGTTGAGTTAGGATTGGTTATAGATGATTCTCCCTTGTCGGGATGTTTGTCTTGATATTGTTGTTCCCTTATCGGGGAGTTATTATGTTGCTTTTGTTCCCTTGCCGGGATTCCTTGTGATTTTGTGTTGGCT